AGAAACAGACTCGCAGACATAGAGAACAGACTTGTGGTTGCCAAGGGGGAGGGGGAGGGGGGAGATGGAGAGGGAAGGACTGGAAGTTTGGGGTTGGTAGATGCAAGCTATTACATTTAGAATGGATAAACAACAAGGTCCTACTGTAGAGCACAGGGAACTATATCCAATCTCCTGGGATAAACCATAATGGAAAAGCATATAAAACAAGAATGTCTCTATGTATATAACTGAGTCACTTTGCTGTATAGCAGAGACTGGCACAACATGTAAATCAAGTATACCTAAATTAAAAAAAAAAAAAGAATCCTTAACCTAGCCTGGTTCCTGAGTCAGGAAGACAACAACTCTTGCCAGCACACACATTCTCTCTCTGAACCCCATCAGCATACACTGAGCACCTGCTGTGTGCCGGGCATCCTGGCCCGTGTGAATGTCTTAGTCACCAGTGTTGTCAGCACATCTGTGGGGTGGGGATCATTCCCATTCAACTGATGAGGTGCCGTAACGTGCCAGAGGGCTAGTGGTGGAGGAGTTGCTGCTGAAATCTGTCTTCTGACTCATTCAGCCGTCTTTTTGAGAAAAGTCTGGCGAGGATTCCTGAGGACCAAGGCTGCTCTTCACCCTGCTCTGTCCTGTCTGCGACATTTCGTGCACACGAAATCCTAAGCACACACCTTGGGTCCTCAGACTGGCAATGATTTCCCCCAAATCAGCTCTGGGGGTGTGGGCGTCCGCGAAAAAGAACCCATCTGGAGGAGCCCTTTCCGCTGCAGCAGTGCCAAGTCACTCAATCACTTCAGCAACAAGGTCAAGGGGAGACTCTGGTGTCACAGACTGAGTTCCGACTCTGCTTCTTATGGTGCCCTCAGGAATGTGACCACCACTCCGAGGCTAGGCTTCCTCGAGTGTGATAGGAGAAGACACCTCCAACTGCCTAGGGTGCTTTGTGGGGTTGTAGGTGTGAGGCCACTGCGCAGTAGCTGGCGTGTCAGCCCTCCCTGCATGGTGGCGACTCTTACCTCAGCCTATCTCGGTTTCCAGATGAGGAGACCAAGCCCAAAGAAGTGAGTGAATAACAGCTCACCCGGTCTTCTTTCAATTTATCCTTTCCAACCATACTATGCGTGCTCCCAGGCTGCTCTGACAAAGATTTCCCCCAGTTTGTTGCACGATGATTATGGAAGAAAATTTTCATGGAGCATTTAAATACCTCAGGGGATGAAAAGGTCAGGACAAATAAGTCATGCTGACAGCTGAAAATGACTCTGTAGAGGTGGGGGAAGTGGTGGAACAGAAGAGGGAGGAGTTGGAAGAGGGGGCAGGATTTCGTATGCGGGGACAGCCCTGCCTCTCTCCAGGGCAAGAGCACCTGCCTGGAGGACAGTGCTTCCAGCCCAGCTTCCTCTGTTTTCAGGACAGCTGTCATTTTTCGGAAACCTCACTAGCAAAGGCAGCCCTTCCAAATAGCATGAGAGCTTCAGTTTGGACAAATGATTTAAGCTCATTTTTGCAGGGGAAGAAATGGATTTACAAAGCAACCAAGAATATTAAAGAGGCAGCTGAAAAGGCAGCCAAGAATCTGGCTTAGGGATTAGAAGCACTGGCTTTCTAGGCTGCGGACAACTGTCTGCTCAATAATCATCCAGCCTGGCAAGAAGCAGGTATTTTTTCTGTGTATCCTCCGTTCCAACTAGCATTTATCCAGTGTCTGTTGTGTGCCAGGCACCAAGCAAAAAGCTTCTTCTTATAAATTTCATTTATTGCCAATGAGTCCGAGAAGGTGGCATCACCAGTCTTTTTCACATGGGAAACAGGAGCAGAGTAAATGATTGGCTGGGATTTGTCGTACATCCCCTGAACTCCAAGCACAGTGCTGGTCTCCACTAGACCAAGCTGCCTTGTCCTTGGGCTCAAGAAAATCCTGCACATCAGCTGAAGGTCAAGAGGGTGCAGGCTCTTCTGATGAACATACGCTTGGACCTTCCTGCCTTCTCATGACTTCCAGTGACCACAAGATCCAGAATTCGGTCATTTCACTGGCCCACATCCCCTTAAAAAAATGCCACAACAGGGGATATAAACATTTAACACACTTTATTGATTTAGGGGCCAAACAAGGCAGCATTTGGACAGTTAAGAAAGGCACCTCATTGAAAATAATACATCACAGTGTTGTTGAGTGATCCCAGTCACAGGATTTGAGGATGGAAAGGACAATCTTTGGATAAGGTCGCTTAGGACACTTGCTCATTTATTAAAAAGGGTCCTTTCACACGACATGGATGGAGGAAGGCAAGAGTGTAGGACTGTGGCATATGCTGGGTGGCTGTCAAGAGCTTACCCAAGAGAGCTGGTGGGCTGGTACATCAGTGGTAAGTTGGGAACGGAGTGAGACCAGCCTGCTCCACCTGCCCCACGACTCCAGTAAACCTGATTTGCTGAGCCACTACCCCCATGAACATACTCTATATCTCTTTCAAATGGGGAGATGACTTTTTGATCTCATGGTATGGGGAACCAGGGTTAGTAGTCAACTCCTGCCCTGTTCCTAGCTACAGGACAGAGAGGACAACAGTGTGATTTCCTGCATTCCTGGGCTGGCATGAGGTTCTGATTTTGATCTCAGTATGGGGAACCAGGGTTAGTAGTCAACTCCTGCCCTGTTCCTAGCTACAGGACAGAGAGGACAACAGTGTGATTTCCTGCATTCCTGGGCTGGCATGAGGTTCTGATAAAAGCTGAGGTCTTAGGGCACTGGCTTTAAAAAATATCGTCACCAGTCTGGAGTAAATGACAATGTGATTCCTTAGAAATAATACTGCATCTCCCTGTTTCTATTTATACCCTCCAATCAGTGTTCTAAAAAAATCAATTTTTCTCTTTGCTTATACTTTTTAAGGCTCCTACTCCATGGAAAAGAAGTTGCTTCACTACAGCACTGCTGCTCTTCCCATTCTCCTCTTGAGCCCTCACCACTCCGCCCTCTCCATCCTTACCCTGACCACCCCTCCCCTCTGCCCAGCACCTAAGAGCAGGGATCACGCCGCAGGGTGATGAGCAGTGGTGCAGTCTCGCCTGGCCTTCTGTTACTAGGCTGAAATAGAGAGGAAACAAGAGAGAACAAAATGGGTTTTTAAAAACCAAGTAAATATCAGAGAAGCTTGGCATGCACGCCCCGGCAACCAAATGCATTAAACACTGGACATTTCTCTGCCAGGTGAAAGCTCGCATGCCTGCTGAGGTTAAGGTTCTGGAATTAAATGAAGCAAAAATTGAATTGTACCTACCCCCAAAAGGGCATATGCAACCCCGACGATCTTCCAGTTTTCACAGATAGCCCAAAAATCACATGCACGTGTGTGCACACGTGAATGCATATAGATGGATGACAAATATTTGAGTAAGGATCATGCACACTCTATCAGCAAACATTCAAGGACCTCACCTTTGAGGCCAAATGCCTGCAACTGTCCCTACTTGAAGAGGAGTCGACTCCAAGATTCACGAGGCCACCCTCACCCAGAGAAGGAGCCCAGATCCCCACAGACAGAGCTGACAGTTCTGGTTTCACTCCCCTTCCTTGTCCATTCCCAGAAGTCATGTGCTTCCCAGAAACACCCCATGCCAGACTGGGTTTCCGCTGAGAATGGATGGAGTTAGTTTACAGCCAGGGAAACAAGGCAGAGCAGAGTCAGCAGACACTCACTTGAAGCAGACAAAGAGGGACACGAGATGGCCACTCTGTCCACCTGGAAGCTGTACCCATAGCCAGCTTCCAGGTGGACAGAGGACAAAACCTCTGGCGGGCCCACAGACAGCAGGAGAACTCAGGTCAGATGGGGACTGGGCCCTTTATAGTCCACTAAACTGAGTCAGCAGATTACACTGGGCAGGTGGCATTATTTATTGGACCTGCCACTTATTTTTTTCACGGTTTTTTTCCAGAGGCTGCCGTTTTTGTGGTCCCTCACAGCAGTCTATTAATTCATCTGTTTGCCCCAAATCAAACCGGAGACCAAAAGGCACAGCACGGACCTCAGGAAATGCATAATAGTTGGGAGCTGAGGTTAGGGGTAAAAGCTGGTTACTGCCATAGGTGATCTTATTTTTGGGGTGATCCTTTCTTGGGGAGACTGGCCACCACCATCATGACGTAAGGGGTGAAGGATTGGATCTGGAAGGGAGATGGTTTGAGTTTAAAAGGGAGACATCTGATTTGGGTTTCACATCCTGCTGAGAGACTGGGTTTGAATAAATTCTAGTCAAAATGATCCCAAAATGATCCTCAAATCACTGTTTTGTTCATACTTGGAAACAGAGGCGAACATTAAAAATAAAAACAAACCTACCCTGGTCTCTCTTTGGGGAAGTGGACTGGCTGCCCTCAGATGCCCGGCCTGGATGTTCAGAAGATCGTCTAAATTCAAAAGGACCTTTCACCTGGTTTAATTCTTTGGCAACAATTCAGTATTCAACACAGGTCCCAGATGATTCCTACTTTACAGAACCATGGTGCAGTTCACAGACATATTCCAACTTGGCCTGGCTCTTTCTATGCTGATACATTCTTCCAGTAATTTCTGGAATCTATAATGCAAGTGCCTTTTCCTTCCTGTTTAGGGGGAAAAAATTAATGATCCCTTTCCACACACTGACTCATTTGGCTTTTCATTACGGGTGAGAAAACAAGTGGAATTTCTGGCCAACAGTCTGCCACTAGGAACTGTGGCCTTGCCTGACTTCATGTGACCCAGGACTTCTAATTAGCTGTTGGAGATGGAAAAAATACTAGGGAACTGGAATGCCTGGTAGATACCTGAGTTAGTTTATTTTGGTCATAAAGTAAAATCTAGAGTATGGCTAAAGAAATAAACAACTAGTAAAGCAATCTTGCCTATAATTTACAAAGTAGGAGAGTGTACACATACTTATACCGACACACTCATGCGCGCACGCACACACACACAGGTGAGATGAGAGTTGCACACATGCCAAAGATACATGAAGCAAGTGCTTTTTTAATCAGTACATCAAATGATACTCTTGCTGGCCTGAAGAATTTTCCCTCTGCCTGCTCTGCCATTCCCACCCACTCCTTCAACAGGGACAGGAAGAAGAAAGAAGTTCCCTTTTGGACCCAACATTATATAAACATAACCAAGTCTTTACATGTGGCTTTGGAGAAGGCTGCTAGGATGCTTGCAAACACAACGTCAGGGGTCTGGGATGCGTCGATGGCAGAGTGGATCCCCCGTTTACTGTAGTACTCCACCAGCGGGGCAGTTTGAGTGTGATAGGCCTCCAGGCGGATTTTCAAGGCCTTCTCATTATCATCTGATCGGCGGACCAAGGGTTCCCCGGTGATCTGAGAACAGGAAGAGGGTAATGAAAGGCCAGGACTCAGCAAGTTCTCCTAATCCAATGCTGGATGCAGATCTGAGATGCTGTCTGATCCCAAAGTCCATCAGAGGGAAAGATAAGACAATCTAGACCCCCTCCAATAAAGAACTTCACTATTCCCAGCAAGTTGGTCCCAGGAGCAGACCACTTGGTCCAGAGAAATCAGGGAGCCTGAAACAGCAATTGTGAGGAAAGGGCTGAGACAGGGGGATAGACAAGGTCTTTCTCTCATGGCTTGTGCTCAGGCTGTTCAGCTTCCAAGACAAACACTTCTAGGTTGAGAGACAAGAAAGACAGAGGCCCCTGAGACCAGGAGAATACATCAAAATCACAGATGCAGCAGCAATTAGGATCTTAGCTGCATAAGTATTCAGTGTTTTTACTGGGGTGCCGGCCATCAACATTCTGAAAGTGGCAAGTGACAGGGAACACTGAGTGATAGAACTGCCAACTCTGTGAAACGTGACTAAGTTGCCAGGTAGCTTTGGAACCTGTATGACCTGATGAACTTGTCTCATATGACAAAGGTAAATCCAGGAAATTCTTACTGTTGCCTGCGTGTTCTAAAACACACAAGTTGAACTATTTAGGGCAAATATTACAGTGTGAGACCCCCTTTTTACATGTGCAAACAATTAAAGACTGTCATAGGAACTTGGCAGTGTTAACCTGGCCAAGCTCTTCTGAATCTGTAGGGCACAGTACAGTCACTAGAGAGAGAAGATATTCTTCTGAAGCAGGGCTGGTCAACAAACATCTCTTCAGTACTGTCCTTCCAACCGTGGCTCTAATCCGGGGCTTCCAAGCAGCCTTCTCCTGATTAGTTCACCATTTAGGTTGCCATGATGCCAGGAAGGGGCTGCTGTGGACAAAAGACAGGTACAAACTGGGCACTGGGAAGTGGCTGGCACTGGTGGCTACCTCAAGGTCAAGCAATAAACCACTTGGAGGGACACTCTAAAGATGAGTCACAGTCCATGTGATTTACGTGATAGCAATATTTCTCACGGTTAAGTTTGTAATATTGGTAAATGGGAAGAACAAAGGGAAGAAAGAAAAAAGAAAAAAAAAGCGAAGTACGAGAGAGGAAGGAAAGAAAAGGAAACTTCCCGTCCTGAATTTACATACATCATCTTTCATGGGCTCCTTTGGGGGGTTGAACTCCTCGTGGTAGGAACGGCCACTCTCGGGGTGAATCAGTCTGAAAGACAGCAAATGAACAGGAATCAGGCTGCCGGAACCCCAGCGGTCTCTAAGATGACAAGCACAGACAGAGAAGCTGGATGCAAGGACTTTAATCCAGCAGAGAACCTCGTTATAGGAATCTCTTGCTTAGGAAAATAACTGGGCATATGCCAGAGGGAGTATGTTTTCTCTCTCTTTTTTTTTTTTGGCGGTACGCAGGCCTCTCACTGTTGTGGCCTCTCCTGTTGCGGAGCACAGGCTCTGGACGTGGGCTCAGCGGCCATGGCTCACGGGCCCAGCCGCTCCGCGGCATGTGGGATCTTCCCGGGGCACGAACCCGTGTCCCCTGCATCGGCAGGTGGACTCTCAACCACTGCGCCACCAGGGAAGCCCTGTTTTCTCTTTTGACCCAACATTAAAATACGTGTCTGGCTGAAGAGGCTGGTATAACGACAGCCTAATTCGGCTGTGTGAGACCATTCCGATTCAGGCCTTAAGCTGAATTCAGGGGCTACAGAGCAACGAGTCACGATCTCTGCTCACAAACAGTGATTAATTTAGAGAGGGAGACAAATGTGGAAATAAATAACTACAATAAATTTGGTAATCCTTTAACAGAGATTTGGACAAAGTGCCATGGGGGACAGAGGACAGAGAAACTAACCTTATTTTCTAAACTAGTCTGGTTATAAAACCAGAAAGGTGCTATAGGAAAAATATGTGCTGTGGATGCAGACACCAGCAGACAACGCTGAATACCTCTGCGACCACACAGACACAGAAAGCCCAGCCATCAGAGGGAAATATTCAAGGCATCAGGGAAAGCAACATATTAAGTCACAGAATAAAGAGCTCGAGAAGAAGCATTTACTTGGCACAGAATATGTAGCTGGCAGCTGCATCTCTGCTGCGTCCCCTTAAGCAACAAGCCCACGCTCCTGCCTGGGAGTGGTCACACCACAGGAGCCCCGAAACCTAAGCAGGGAAGGAGGCAGGCCAAACACTGCTCAGCAGCTGGTGCCCACAACTTCGCGTGGCTTCCCAATTCTATGCCAACCAAGGTCTGCTTATTTAACTGATGGCTACTCTCCTCATGAAGGTCTGTTAGGCCAGAGCTTCCCAACATTTTTCACCTCTTGGCATACACAGAAAGTATTCAGCGTGCTTGCTCTGGTGGCTGAGGGGGTCAATATCTCAGCACATCAGTTGGGAAAGTCTGGGTTAGACTATCGAAGCCACACGTTTGTAAAATGTGATACTGTGTTTTAATGACAGCGTATTTTGGGGGGCCAAGTGGTCCATTTATAGAATAAGGTGGTCCATTTACAGCATGGGGGACAAGTTGATAGCAGACTGAGTAAGTTACACTGAGTGGGCCTGTGACTGCAATCATGTAACACGAGGTTGGGCCCTCCTTTATTTGAGTTGCTGGAGGGGTTCCTCTGGTGCATCCACTGGGAAATGACACCCACTAGGAGACCCAAGGAGAGGGAGAGCAGAAGCTGCGGGGCTCAGCTACAGCTTTCCTTTGGGAAGGGCTGGGGGCATGAAGTGTGGACGACGTTTCTTTTTTTTTTGGCCACGCTGTGCAGCATGCAGGATCTTAGCTCCCCAACCAGCATCGAACCCATGCCCCCTGCGGTGGAAGTGCGGAGTCTTAACCACTGGACCGCCAGGGAAGTCCCTGGACCTTGTTTCTTCACCTTCTGGAAAGCACAGGGCACACAGCAGCCAGGCTGCAACAAACACAATTCTCTCCTCTCCGTGTCTCTACATCAGCTCTTGCGCATTCCCAGATTCCCTCAGCCCTCCAGTTACATATAACACTGCTCCTTCCCCACTTCCAAATATCATTTTAAGAAGGCAAAACTCATTCCCTAGAAGGGAAAAGAAACCAATCTCCAAGTTCTTAAAATGGGACTGGTCTTAAGTACCAACCAAGACAGCTCTACAAGCCACTGAGCCTGGCCTGGATGTGGAGGTGAAGATGTGGAGGGATCGGGCTGGGATGCTACAGCCACTGCTACCTTGGGTGTCATACTTCAGACACCTGTTTTCTCATCCACAAAATGGGGATGGTACAAGACATTAGGCTAATGATACCAGACAGCCAACACTGAATAGGTTAAAATCAAAACCCACCAGCCATACTTATGGCAAGAAATAAAATAACAACCCATAGAAGTGAGGTCAGAGCCAATTCCAAAGACATTTACAGTGGGGTCCTTATCACATCGGATTTAAATAAGATCCAAATTAAACTGCCTAGTTCCTGACTCTTTTTCTTGCAACCATCAGCATAGTGGATGAGGAGGCAGAAAGCAGGTTTCTGGTGCTAGTTCTGCCACTGATATGCAAGTGGGCTTGGAAAAACACCTTTACACCGCCTGACCTGTTCTGTTTCCTCCTCTGTAAGGGAGAGGGCCGCACTACACCACTCACTTCCAAACCGAGAGACCGAGTCTTGCCTCTTTCGCCCTCTACAATTCTGGAGTTTGTTCTTCAGAATCTCTCAGTGCCCCACCAGCCAACCCCAGTCTCCATCACTTCACCGGTGGATCACATCAGGCTCCTCCAAGTGGGGTCCTTGTCTGTTTCTTATTTCCCTCAGTTTAGCCTGTATACCAGGACGAAGCTAATGTTCTTAAAATACTATATCTGCCACAACGCCTAGTGGCTTAAGAACATCCCATGATTCCTGACTCAGTCACGTCTACCGTCTCTTCCTTGGCAGACCTTCCCCAGCCAGGCTCCCATTCCACCTTCCCAACTGCACTCATTCTGCCACCCAGCCTCCCAGGCCACTTCTCCAGTTCTGGACAGACATTTTGCCAGAAGCCTTAGCTAGAGCCTCTCCCTCAATGCATACTCATTCTTGCCTCTACTCCCTTCTGGGAAAGCCTCAGCAAAATCCTCTCTATCCAGGAAGGTCAAGTCAGACTTTACACCTCTCCTAGCCAGACTTCCCTCCCTGCCCCCAGGCTGTCTTCCTGGACCCCTATTGCACTAAACAGCCCAGGTTTCATGTAGGGATTGTAGACGCTCTGAGGTCAGACATGGGCACCAGCATATTGTTCTATATTCTCTACTGGTCCCCTGCTCCCAGAGCTGTGCCTGCACAAAGCAGGCACTTAGGAAGCTGAGCTGATCAGATCAAATGCCCCTCGTGTCACCTAGTACTATTAACATCTGCTTTGCAATGTCCGGGACCCCAGCCCTGGTCATGTCCCTTCTTGTCAACCCTACTGCTTCTTGGACTACATCAACTTTGCTTGCCTACTCTGTGCCAGAGCAAAGAAACAAAATTCCTGCACTGAAGGAGCCTATGCAATAGCTGGAAACATGAAACCTGGACATCTGAAAAGAAAATTAATATAAGGTGGACCCCACTGTATCTAACACAGCCTTCCAGGAGAACACCTCTAACACTTACTCTGCTGCCTCTCTCCTTAAAGATATGGACTGCAGACACATGGAGAAAAATGTTCAACCTCATTAGGAAATCAAAGTAATAACATTTACAATCAGAAAACACTGCCCCCTTAATTAAAAAACTTACATATACTATGATGGCCACAGCATGAATTTAACAATGGAAAACTGGAAGAGCACAAATGTACAACAATCGGGGAACAATTAAGTAAATGATGGTTCACGTACTGTGAAATATCATGCAGCAATTAAAAATAATGGTCATGGAAGTCTGGTTCAAGATGGTAGGCTGACCACCTTCCTGAGGCTCCATTAAAGTGACTGAGGGTGCAGTGGTTAAGAATCTGCCTGCCCATGCAGGGGACATGGGTTCGAGCCCTGGCCTGGGAAGATCCCACATGCTGTGGAGCAACTAAATCCGTGGGCCACAACTACTGAGCCTGCGCTCTAGAGCCCACGAGCCACAACTACTGAGCCCCAGTGCTACAACTACTGAGCCCCAGTGCTACAACTACTGAAGCCCGCATGCCTAGAGCCCGTGCTCTGCAACAAGAGAAGCCACCGCAATGAGAAGCCCGCGCACCGCAACGAGGAGTAGCACCTGCTCACCACAACTAGAGAGAGCCCATGCCCAGCAACAAAGACCCAACACAGCCAAAAATAAAAACAAATAAATAAATTAATTAAAAAAAAAAAAGTGACTGAGGGATTAAAAAAAAAGCTATATAGCCCATAATAAGGACAAGAATGGGAGGGTCTGAGGGCTTCCCTGGTGGCACAGTGGTTGAGAGTCTGCCTGCCAATGCAGGGGACATGGGTTCGTGCCCCACTCCAGGAAGATCCCACATGCCGCGGAGCAGCTAGGCCCGTGAGCCATGGCCGCTGAGCCTGCGTGCCCGGAGCCTGTGCTCTGCAGTGGGAGAGGCCACAACAGTGAGAGACCCGCAAAAAAAAAAAAAAAAAAAAAAAAAAAGAATGGGAGGGTCTGTTAGTGGTTGAGAGCTTCCCACATATTTTTGGAAGGCATAAAGCAGATGGTAGCGTGGTAGTGAAAGAGGGCTGAGGAAACTGTAGCCTAAAGCAGTGGCACTTTTTAGGAGCAAACTCATCAGAAGCAGAAGCATTTCTGTGTTCAACGTTAACTACTATAGAGAAATAAGCACTTTAAAACAAAACACGCAAAAAAATTATAGTGTTATTCGCTGAGCTGGCTGTACCATGAGCAAGTTTTCCCTCAATTTTCTAAACTGTGTAGATGGTCCTATTATTTTTATAATAAAAAGGCTACAGCAAGGTATGGCAACTCCAACTGAAATCGGACTTAAAAAGCACTAAAATGGAGATATACATATAAGGAATTTAGTATTTCTTTCTTTCTTTCTTTTTTTTGTGGTACGCGGGCCTCTCACTGTTGTGGCCTCTCCCGCTGCGGAGCACAGGCTCCAGACGCGCAGGCTCAGCGGCCACAGCTCACGGGCCCAGCCACTCCGCGGCATGTGGGATCTTCCTGGACCGGGGCACGAACCCATGTCCCCTGCATTGGCAGGCGGACTCTCAACCACTGCGCCACCAGAGAAGCCCAGGAATTTAGTATTTCTTAAGCACCCAGGTAAGCAAGGCTCTGAAATATGCACAACATGCTATCTACCATGCACAATGGGTCCTTGAAGCAGGTACTATTACTTCCTCTCTACATATGAGGAAACAGCCTTAGAGAGGTTAAGAAACTTGCCTAGGGTCAGAGTTAAAAGGTGACAGGACTGAGTTGCTGCTGGACTTCAGATCCCTTGCTCTTCCTTCCACATCCCCATCCCATGTCACCAAATAAGGTCAATCCATGTGGAAACGGCACTAAGCTTCGTGGCTGGGATTAGGCCAGAGCAGCTCCTGTCGTCTGACAAAGCTCTGAGGAAGCATGAAAAGAAGGGACTTCAGGGGACAAATACCTTCCTGTGATTCTCCGGATCAGCAGAGAGTCTGGGATGCTGAATTCAATCACAGAATCAAGCTTCTCTTTCCTCTTCTCCATGAGGTCATCAAGCTGTAAAAAAGCGTGTGGCCCACCTAAGCTACCAGAGCTTGATAAGACCCATTTCCCTCAAAGGAATAGAGATAGAGGGCCAGGATTTGCTTTCATGCAATGGTGATACAAAACCAAGCCACTCACCATTTCTGCCTGCCTCACAGTCCGAGGGAAGCCATCTAAAAGAAAACCATTTTTGCATGGAGGCGTCTCCAAATTCTTCTCAATGAGCTCCACGACCATTTCATCGCTCACCTGGAAGTCAAGAACAAAACAATCTTGGGGTTAAATCCATTAACTAGGTGGCATTAGCCCAACTCCAGGGTCATAAGTTTATGTCTGTATAACCTGATTACTAAACAGGTTCTTGACCCCAAAGAAGCAAAAATCAGAGCAAATATGGAGTGGCTCCATTTGCAAGATTCAGTTGCATGATTATTTCTGTGGTTGCCATATACACATTCTCTTCCCTTGAGATTGTCCTGTGTCCCAGTAATCTGGGTGAAGGAACGGGAGTGCCTAACACCCCACCAAGAGACCACCATTTCTTAGGTCCTGAAGGCCTCTCTGGCCATTAGTCAGAGTCCTAGCAATCAGATAATAGCTCCTCAGCAATCAGCTGTCTTCAAGACATAAGTGAGGACATATGGCTGAGAGACCACCTTAGGAGGGCTCTAGGAGAGAATGGGGGTTGACCAGAATGTAGAACGGCACCAACTTTACCTGTTTCACAATTTTGATTAGGCTAACAGTAAAGCGACCCAGGCAGTCTCGGACATGAAGCAACAGAGAAGTTCACTGACCTTGGCAAGACTGGTTCAGAACCAAGGAACCAAGAAGCCAGCCCAACACTCCTCTGAGCCTCTCTAAAAACCCCAACAAGGATCCTTCCTAGCTTCCAAAAACTGGTTTTCCTCCTGGGCTTTCACTGCAAGAAAAGTTCCCTGCCAGTATTAGAGTGAAGGCTGCCCATTTTGGTAGCTAATGCTCTTATCTCCTGGGACCAGCTGTGAACTTGGGGACAAAGTATAAGCTCTGCGACTAAGTGAAGCCTGGAGATAAGTAATCTCATTGCCACAACCCAATTTTTTCTCAGTACAGGATCTTCCACCAAGACCCAAAGTCCAAAATATCTAGCTTTATGGCTTGACTTACGGCCTCATTAACATGAAGGGAAAGCTAGAAGTAAAGGGGCAGCTGGGTGCACAGGCAGGGCTACCCCAGGTCCAGAATCTCAAAGCCTGACAGGAGGCCCAGCACCCGCCCCAACCAACATTCTAAAATACGTAAAGACCAGAGAGCCAAGCACAAAATGACTAACTCAGTTACAATTAAGCTCTGGCACTATTCAAAAAACATTTAGTAGGTAATAAATTGTACTTCTCCAATCAGATCAACTGGACTAAAAACAAGAGGAAATGCTATTATATTCACCAAATAAGAAGGATTACTTTTGTCAACTGCCAAGCAACCCCTCTGTTAAAGACACAGAACAGAATCACAAAAGTAGATTAAAAACACTTCTGAGACTTCCTGAGTCCTCTCTTGAATCACCCTTGAGTTCTGGCCTAGGGATGCCAGTTTCATTCTTGGCCTTAAAACTGGGTATAAAAAAAAAAAAAAAGTAACAAACAAACAAACAAACAAAAAAACTGGGTGTATTACAAAATGTGCCGGCACAAAGGAACTTCAAGAATACCGTGAATAAAATAAGTGTCATAAATTCAGAATGAACCAAGTAACTTGCTACTGTAAAAGTTCACATAATGTGCCAGTTTGTTAAAACACCCCGCAGCACAGGGCTGTCCAACAGAACTTTCTACAATGATTAAAATGTTCTATATCTGTGCGGGCTAGCAAAAACCTGAAATGTGGCAAGTGAAACTGAGGAAGTTAATTTTAAATTAAATTAAATTAAAATTAATTTCAGTAGTTACATGTAGCTGGTGCTCACCCTATTAAGCAGGGCAGATCTAGACTCTGAGGAATATCAACATTCACTGGTACCACCAAACCTACCAGTTTCCCGGCATCCATAGTTGCCTTCAGCTTTTTTCCCAGCTCTGAGCCAGAAGCCACCATGGCTCTCAGCATGTCCCCAGTAGCCAAATGGCAGACACAGAAGTTTTCAGCCAACTTGGGTGCCTATGAAGGGGAAGGCAAAAAACAAGATATGGTTAACAGCGCAGGCCTTGGAGTTAGACTGCCTGGGTGTGAACCTGGCCCTGCCACTTACCGGCTATGTGAACTCTGAAAAATGCCTATTTCCTTACCTGTAACTGGGATAAAAGTACCTTACATTATATTCTAACATATGATTATAGGGTTGTAGTTAAGCATTACATGAGATAATACATATAAGGCACTTAAAACAGTGCACCTAGCACAGGAAGCCATCGTAAATATCAGCTATCATCACTACTTCTACTAGACACACTCGTGACACATAAGCCTCAGTTTCCCCATTATAAATGGGAAAAACAGAAACAGCAGTACCAACACTTCACACGGTTGCTCGGAAGTTTAAAAGAGTTCATGTATATAAAGCACCTGGCACAATGCCTGGCATGTAATGTACTGAATGAATATTCGCCAAAGGGATGGACGTGTGGCTGTCAAGTACTGTGGTCACCAGTGTGGGAGGCAGCTGGAGCCAGGCACAGAAGTCTCCCTCAGGCAGACTCGGTTCTTCCCTTCCCTGTCACTAGGTAGCTGCATTATCTGGGCCAAATCACTTAACCTCTCAAGAGGCTCAGTTTTCTCATTTGTCTAAAATGAAGGCGAAAAGTCTGTCTCAGAAGGTAGCTGTGAAGATCAGATGAGATATATATATGAAGAGCACCTGGAAAACAGTAAGTGCTTAGTAGCTTTAGGAAGCAATATAGCCTTTTGGCTAAGAGCATGGGCTTGAGAGTCAAACGCCTGGGTTTCAGACACCAGGTCCACCAATGACTGGTTATGTGACTTGAGAAGAATTATATCACTTTTCTAAATTTTAAATTTCCTCTAGGTAAAATGGAGATGGTAATAGTACCTATATCACTGGGTTGATGATATTATATAGAATTCCACATATGCAGGGCCAGGCACTTTGTAAGTGCTCAGTGAACACCAGCTGTTACTGTAATCCCTGTCTTAATTCCACATTCATTCATACAGAACGAAAATACTAATACTTCGAAGATGCCTCTTCTAAGAACCTTGCTGGGTACCAGGGAAACAGATGAATAGGAGACACAGACTCTGTCCTCTATGAGTTCATAGTTTGGTGACTATACCACAGAATGAAGACTAGAAGAGAAGAGACCCTGGAGAGTCCGACATTGGTTTTGTAGTGGCAAAAAAGAATGCAGAATTCATGAGGAATAGCATCAGTTCAAGGAGCCTAACACTTTGCTTTCTGGTTCAATTGTTCTGGTAAAGAAGTAGGGTGGGAACCTTGTTCAAACCAGTTCACTGGGAGCTTTCTTAGGTTCACATGGTAAAGGCTAAACAGATAGGGCTCAGGGAAACAGTGCTGGTTTGTGACTCATGGACTGATTCAGCTCAGAGAACTGACTTCATAGCAAAATGGAACCCAGATGAGGTATTTAAAACCACACTTGGGAAACCAGTGAAGGTCAGGACGCTCTGGTGATGGAAAACCTTCTGGTCCTTCGGGCTGGCACAGTGGCCACAAACCCAGAGAGCTGTGCTTTTCTGCCAATCTTTCTCCTTGGTTGCTGAAATTAACTTGGGTGAAAAATTGGGAGGTCAGGCTTGTTACAGGGGAAAGAGTAACCAAAACACCAGAGAAGAGCTGTTAGCACCTAACCTTCCAATTTTTACCACAGGACTCTTCTTAGCACCTACCTTCCAATTTTTACCACAGGACTCTTCTGTGCTATTTCAGGTGACTAGACTCTATGGCTGTGTGGAAGCACACTCCCAGAGGGAAGATGCGGCATGGCGCAAGACTAACTCCTTCATTTCTTGCTGGCTGCACAGAAGTTGATGGGGTGGGCTGCAAAGAGCATGAACTTTGGAGTCAGACAGATTTGCACATGAGCCCTGGCTGCCCTCAATAGCTTTATGACCTGTGGCTAGTTACTTAATTTCTCAGAATCTCAGTTCCCTTACCAGTCAAATAGGGATAATGTCTACTTCATAGGGCTGTTGTGAGGATAAAATGAAATAAATATCAGACACACCGTAGGCATTCAGTAAATAAAAGACCTCCTTTCAAGGTCTTTCTTTTCTGCATTACTCTTTACTTGCAAACTATAGAAGCCTGATGAAATAGCTGTATTTCATTCCCCTTACACTTCACGCTTATACTTTTTTTAGAGGAATGCTTCTCCTACTCCAAACCACCTGAGGGTGCTGCTAAAATGCAGATTCTGATTCTACAGGGTGGGCCCTGAGCATCTGCATTTTAAACAAGCTTCCAGGCCTGGCTGTGCTGCTGACCCCTGGACCACACTCAGCTGCTGCTGAGGCCCTGAGCCACATGTGTCTCACTACCCATGGGCTACTGTTGAGCCCAAGAAACAGGCCCCCCATCTGTAGGAGAAACCTGTGGTTTGGGAAGGGGGTGTGGTTCAGAATGGCTAAAACCACTAGGGAGGCAGCATGGTGAGGTTAGTGTTCTCAAACATCAGTGTATTATCACAATCATCCAGGGCACTTGCTAAAAATACACAGCCAGGCCCGCCCTTGAAGTGTATGACTGAGTGGTTTTCAGGTAGCATGGTGGGATTCTGATTCACAGATTGTGAAGCCCTGGGGCAGGGGTGTAAGACTGGGTTTTATAGTGGTACAGACCCGGGATTTACAGTTTACTCACTGTGTCACCCTGAACAAGATATATAGCCTTAAGGCCTTGGTTTCTTCATCTCTAGAGTACAGTAAGTCCCCTACACACAAACCTTCAAGCTGCAAACTTTCAAAGATGCAAACGTGCGTTCACATGTCCAATCATGTAAGTTCACGTGTCTGGCGTACATTGTCACGTGCGTGCGTCCTCTACAAGTGGCTGCGCTTTTGTGTACTTTACTGTACAGCACTGTATAGAGTACAGTAGTAAAGTGTCTTTATTTCAAGCCCAGGTGTCTGGAAGCAAGCATAAAAGCAGTGGTGACGTAGCTGGTACTGCTAAGAACTGCCAGGAATCGGAGGCCCAGAGAAAGAACGAAGAGAGACAAGAGGAAGAAGTAACTGAAGAACCGCAGAGATTCACGATGCAGGAAACGGCAGGGGATTTTCTTTATTTGGGGAGGCACTGTTAGTTTTTGAGGCCCAGCACCTGAAAAGTAGAACGGTACATGAAGGTTGCAGCAGCCGTTAAGAATGCAATCTGGTGCTACCGTGTCATCTATGATGAGAAAAAAAGAGGTACTAGCCAGACATCACTGGATCATTTTTTCAAGAGGGTAGATAGAGTTGAATCCAGCAAGGAACCAGAACCTGTGCCATCGATGTCAGGCGTGAGTGAAACTGCAGCTTGCCCTCCGTCTCCTACTGCTGACGATCCTTCAGCTCTACCATCTCCCACCTCCTCTCCCTCCTCCAGTCAGTAACTCTTCTTGCCTGTTCACCCTATGCCCCTGTATGCCAGCTGTTGTACTGTACCACTGTATTTTTCAAGGTATTGTACTGTATGATTAAAAATGTTTTATTTTATTTTTATGTATTACTGGTGTGAAAAGTATTATAAACCTATTACAGCACAGTACTATATAGCTGATTGTGTTAGCTGGGTACCTAGGCTAACTTTGTTGGACTTACGAACAAATGTGACTTAACAACGCGCTCTCGGAATGGAACTCATTCGTATGTAGGGGACTTACTGTACAGACAACAATGTCTACTTTCAGAGCTGTTATGGGGATTTGGCAAGATCATATATGTAAAAGAATCCACCATAGTGCCTGGCATTTAGGGAAATAAAGGGAAAATGTCAGTCTTGAAGATTTGATTTAATCAAGCTAACTTGTTTTCTTACCTTGAAATCATCTTTCTACTGCTGCCTTTCCCACTTCCACCTCCAATCCTTCTGTACATGCAGCTGCAATCATCTCCTAAAATACTGCTGGACATACTACCCACCCCCCAACAAACATACATTCAGAAGCCTCAATGTTCCCCCAGGGCAACAGGGGAGAAGTCCCAATACCTTAGTCCAGCACTCAGTGTCGTCCACAACCAACTTCCTATACCTCCCAAGCTACTCAAATTTGCCTCCACAAGTCCCCTACCAGGATGCCCTGCACAACGGCAAACAGCTGCTCTATATATGCTTTCCAATTACATAACATAAGCCTCTCCATGGACCTCGGCTCAAGATCCTCTCTATGCAAGAATGCCCTCTCCCTTCCTCCTACTGGTCCAAGCGCTACCCTCCTCTGTAGTCAAATTCTGAGCATATCTCTCCCAACAAAAACCCTCCCCAACTACCCTTTCTTTCCTCCAAGAAGGAATCATATCAACATCAGTTAACTGGGTGTTTGCAAGATGCCAAGCAATTTTTCCATGCATTGTTTTACAGTATTTAGTATGTATAATACATAACAAATACGTGAGGTAGTAACTATTTTTATCTGCATTTTACAAATGAAATTCAGAGGCTAAATTGCCCAAGATCACAAAGCTAGTAACAGCAGATCTGGCAACTGGCCTCAAGACTGTCGAGCCCTAGCTCTTATCCATGATACCACATGGCTTTACTAACACCACCACCACCACCACCACCCAGAGCCTTAGTGGCTGTCCTTGGGGAAGTGTGCATATATGTGTGGAAGGGAGCACAAGGAGGCCTTCACAGGGCTGGCAATGTTCTGTTTCTTCATATGGGTATAAGCTACACAAGTGTGTTCACATGTGAAAATTCATCAAGCTGCCCACCTAGGATATCTGCACCTTTCTCTATGTATATTATACTTCAATTAAAAAGTTTTTTAGGGCTTCCCTGGTGGCGCAGTGGTTGAGAGCCCGCCTGCTGAGGCAGGGGACATGGGTTCGTGCCCTGGACTGGGAAGATCCCACATGCCACGGAGCGGCTGGGCCCGTGAGTCATGGCCGCTGGGCTTGCGCATCCGGAGCCTGTGCCCCACAATGGGAAAGGCCGCAGCAGTGAGAGGCCCATGTACCACAAAAAAAAAAAAAAAAAAAAAAAAAAAAAAGTTTTTTAAAAGTACAGAAACCTGTGTTTGAATTTCAGCTCGGCCTGTTAACTGACCATGTAACCTCAGGCCAGAGATCCTTTAATCACTATAAATTAGATATATTAGTACCAACATCACTGGGTGTGTAGGAGGAAGAATGGAAGACTCTCAACAAATTATAGTTCTTTTCTAACCCCGAACTGTCCTAGCATTTGTCAGTCACTCATCTCACACTTCCCATATGGTACTCTGCACTAGTAAGTACTGCTTGCATGCATGTTCATTTCTGCCCCTACACCTAGACTGATAGCAAAGATAAGATGGTAATGCTGTTCAAGAATCAGTCACGAATTCAAATCCTATCTTTGCTACTTTATGTATGTCCTGGGGCAAGATACACACTGGACCTCAGTTTACCAGGCAAAGGCAAAGATAACAACAGGACCTTCCTCCTAGGGCTGCAGGATTAAATCAGATGACACCTGTAACATCTTTAGCTGCGGGGGGGCGCCATTAGCAATATCCCTTTGAATGAAGCCATATCCTATTCATATTTATAAGATGCAGTGGGGGTGGGGGTGGTGATGTCTTGAAGGCAAGCGCTGCCCTGCATCTCTAGCATGGAACTTATCTAACAAAACATGCATAGGGCAGGAGACAAATCTAACCCAGGGCAGCAGATAGCAGGAGAAAGAGCAGGAGCTTTGAAGTCATTCAGATGCAAGATCAGACAATTACTTGCCCTGTAACCTAGAGCACAAGCTCTTTGAGCTTTAGTTTCTCTACCTGTAAAAGGGGGAGTAAGAGCATGGGTCTCACAGAGTTGTTTTTGCACTGTGAGCGTCCACGCACTGACATAACTGACAGAGCCTGACCTGCAAGATGGCAGCTGACAGCCTAAGTGTGCTGGCCTTGAAGAACTGGTGTCAGCTGGACACATGGAAGAAACTATGAAAGGGGCTGGCAGAGGAAACAGAAAACATACCCGCTTTGGCCACACGATAGGAACATCTAACCCTAAAAGGGAGACAGGGAAGTAAGGTTATTTAAACAAAACAACAAATCCAAGTGTTCCAGATGTTTTAGACATTATTATGTTGCTGCAAAAGCAGGTAGTTTAAAAATGTTTAACTATTTTAGTTAAAAATAAAAAGTTGTAAAAGGAAACAGATTATTTCAGTCATGCCAACATTAAATACCTAAAATACTGAGTTATGCAGGTATAAAAGGAAGCACTAGTGGGAAGAAAACAAACATTACTGAGCAGGCACTAGGCACTAACCCAGGTTAGGATTTTACATCAAAGATTACAAACATTTACCAGGCAGGCAACACAAATGAAGTGGGTCAAATATAAGCAACAGGCAGCGAAGAGGGCTATGCAGGGGACAGGAGAGCACATGGACCACCCAAAGCGGCATCCCCACTCAACTGCGTGCCACGCTGGAATGGAGGCCCAGAACCACCAGATCTGACTTCTCAAGAGAAACGAGAGCTCTGGATTTTTAAGTGAAATTTCACAACTGAAAACACTGTGTGGTCAACTTATTATATTGAAAGCTGACAAATTATAGGAATAAATCAAGCATTTAACCTACCCTTACTATACAAACCATACCAAATAGTAGGTGAGAAGTTTCTCTTTATAGAAATATTTCAGCTAATAAATGAAAAGGGAATGATATAAGTAGAACATCACCATTTTGCCACCCACAGTGAATTTCTGGACCCAGGCACTGAACATCAGAGATAAGCAGACACAGTATGCCTCCTAATGGACAGCACACCACCACCTGTGATGCAGTTGGGCCAAAAATTGAACCCAGATCTGGTTAATTGTTTTTTTACAGGAAAGAAAGAGGAAGATGTTAAGTTTGGCATGGGGATACAATAAAAAAATTCTCAGAAAGAGGGATACTCCCAGAATAAACAACTTCCACAAAAAAGCTGTAAGGAAAAAAAAAAGGGGGAACCTGTAAATTAGAAGGGACTTGAAATGATCATATTTGTGAGACACATGAATGGAAATGTAAACATTTACTGTTATTATTGTTTTTAGGGGATAGTGTGCTTGTTTACAAAAAAGAATTCGTCTTTTAGAAATACACATTGAAATATTTACAAATGAAGTGTTATAATGTCTGGGAGCTGCTCTAAAATAATCTGTGAAGGGAAAGTGGATGGGGAAGGAATGGCCACCAGCTGATGGTAGCTGGGGCTGGATAATGGGTACATGGGGGCTCATTACACAATCCTGTCTTTTCAAACTCTTCATAATAAAAAGCTGGGTGTGTCTGCAGGCTAAATTCTGCTGCAGGCTGCCACTTTGCAACCTCTGATTTAGGAACACTGTTCTTTAAAACTCCATTAAAACTACAACCACCAGTATTCCTATTGTTCCAGTTATGGAGAGAAAGGTGTACAGAGGTTAAGCGACTTGTGTAAATCTTACCCTTAAGTCCCAGCTCTAATCACATCTCCTTGACTTCTACAAGGCCTTCTCTGACCAACTCCCATCATACATACACCCTTATAAATCAGCTCATAGTATAATTTTCTTCAAAACTTCCTGAAAACATTACCCTTTACAACAAGATACAGCTAAGTTGGGGGGTGGGGGGATGTGTTACTAAGATAGGGAGTCAATAATTAGTGAACATCTACTGTGTGCCAGGTTGTCATCTAGGTGTGCTTTACACACATATATAACATAATTTTCCAGTATCCTTGTTAACTTTTGGTCTAGGGGGGAAAGGACCTTATCAGTCTTCTTTACTGCTCTGTCTCTGATGTTCGGTGCTCATGACATGTTGAATGAGTAAGGTTAAGTATTAGCCCCATTTTTCAGGTGAGAGCAGTGAGGCTTAGAAGTTACAAAGCTTGCTAAACTATAAAGCCCTTGTCTCAGCACAGGGATGGGTTGTCCCTTTCACAACTACTGAAATTATTAACTTCAATATGAACTAAGAAAAAACAACTGATGCATTTGAGCTACCTCGTTTATCTCGGTCACTCAGCAAAAGTCCGTAGAGTTTGGGATTAAACATTCCTAAACTGTGGGTTACCTAATAACTGAGGGTGGTAGCAACAGGAAAGAGGAGCATTCAATCTTACTGAGGACAAGGGGGTTAGGTAACAATGACACTCAAGGGCAAATCGGCTCTGGCTATAGAGAGAAAAGGGGAAGTGGTCTTCCTTCACCTAGTAGACAGAGACAAAAAGCAAAGTCACAGGAATGAACTGAATCTCTAAGACTCCCCTTCTCCTCATCACCCATATGAATCTGTGTTTATCCATTTCCAGTAACCTCATCAAATAATGTGCTGGGTGTCACAGGAGCCCCAAGAATGAGTAAGACAAATGATCTGTCTGCCAGGACTTTGCAATCTTTGCAAGGGCTCAGAAGAGAAGAGGGGGCATAGAGCAGCACCCAGAACCCCATTCCCTTAGCAGATCAGACTTTCAGGAATTCCCTCTTTAGACCCTAAGAGCAAGCAAAAACTTGAGGGCGGGGGTGGGGTGGGGCAATGCCAGATCCCAGGCAGGAGGAGGATATTGATAATCCAACCTATGGGCTTCGAAATCCTAAGTGAGATCATAAATCCCAACCTTGATCTATGGGCCCATTACGTCCCAGGTGCCAAGCGAGGCCCCACGGTCAGCAGAAGGTAACTTCAGACTCCAATCACTCAGAGCCCTGAGGTTCCAGGCTCCATGAAGTCAATTTTGCTAACCTGAGAAAGCCGCCTGACCTCTCTGGGCCTGTTTTCTCACCTGTATATTGAGGTACTCTCTCCCATCCCCCCAACTTAACTGTCTCAGGCAGGTCATACCTCATTTCTCTTAGCAGTATTCCTAACCAGCACAGGCCAACTCCCGCTTTCCCCCATGAGCGGGAGATGCTACTCCACCTTCAGGCGTTAGTCATTACCAGAAACGTCCCCCTACCCCGAGTTCCTGGAACGTAACCCTCGACAACCCACTACCAAATCGCAGGCAATCTGGGGTCCCTGCGTCCACTCGGGTTGTAATCTACATGCCTCAGCCCAGGGCTCACCTCACCCTTCAAATCTTCCCAGCTTCTAAACCCTTAAGGGATCTAATCAGTCCTTAGGATCACCTAACAGGGCACGTCACGCCTGGGTCCCTCAAGAACTCTAACTCAGACTCCCTCGACCTCCACTGTGGACCCTCCCCCAAACACCTGCTAGAACCCCAGACTCCAGCCAGGGTACCCCTCCAGGCTTCAGCCAGCGGCCCGGCTCAGGGGCGACCCAGACCTCTGGCAGCCCTGACCTTGGAGTCCCACGGGCTCTGCCGACAAGCCCGGCTCAGCAACTCACCTGGGTACCCTTGCCGGCTCCGGGCGGCCCTAGAAGCACGGCCCGGATGCCTTCAGGACACTCTCTAGCCGGTTCGGCCATGGGCACGTTGGGAGCCATGGCCGCCGAAGCCACTCGGGGCTCAACCAGCCTGCAGTCCTCCGAGGTCCACCGCTTCCAGGCCAACGAGCCACGCACGCCACGCACGCCCCGCTCGCCGTTCACACTGGCCCGTCGATACGTCCGTCAGCCCGCTCCGCCCACCCCTGAGAGCGACGGAAACTTCATCTTACCAACCACTCAGCGATACTGGGGAAGGCTGCTTTTGATTGGACAGAATCGGTAAGGGAGTAAGGAAGGGGAGGGCCATCACGGACGCGGATGTGGGGCGCGCGGCGGGTATGCGGAGTGGGCGGGAAAACATGAAGCAAGCCTAGAGGCCGGGTTGGGAGTTCTAGGTTGGCTTTTGACAGTTAGTGACACCGGCAACCCCAGTGAAGTCCTATAAAATTGCCCGTGGGAGTACAAATGGGTGAAATCAGTCGTAGAAGACAAATTGGCAAATATGTATCAAATATCCTTTGGTCCAGCAATTCCACTTCCAGGAATTCAAAGGACATAATCTACGATATACGTAAAGATCTGTCTCACAAATATACTAATTAAAGCACTTATAACAGCCCCAAAGTCCAAAACAAGTAAATAAAAAAACAAAAACGAAAAACAAAGGCAATATGCTAAATGTTCAACAATAAGAGCTTAGTTAAATAAATTGCAACAAATTTGTATACTGGAATTCCCCCCCCCCAATGCATAAAATATTTAATTGCATGGGAAAATGTTCACCAAACGGGATACAAAACTACAGTTGCAACAAAATCCCAATTTGTTTGATAGTTACAAGTGATGATCTATGTATAGTGTGATTACAGGAGCTTCTCCCCTTCTTTGTACATATTTATATTTTCAAAAAATTCTATAATGAATTCTGTAATAAACAGGAAAAGGTAGTTTTTCTCAAAAGAGATGACCTTCTCTTGGACAGAGTTTTGGTGTGTGAAAGTTTCATCCACACCCCCCATGAAGCAACCCCTGAGGTCCTGGCAAGACCTTTAGTCCAGAGAGTGATTATAAAACAATTATGTTTCCCCACAGTCTTATTGCAACTCATTTCCTTTTTTTTTTTTTTTTTTTCTTTTTTTCCTGCCGTGCCACGTGGCGTGCAGGATCTTAATTCCCCGACCAGGGATCAAAACCCATGACTCCTGCAGTGGAAGTGTGGAGTCTTAACCACTGGACCGCCAGGGAAGTCCCAGAACTCATTTTCTGTATCCTGGAAATAAATTTTCTATCTTTTCATCTTGGTCTCTTCTATTTTGCCTCACAAAAGAAGTTAACATTCATTCCTCATGCCTGCACTGGACTTCCACAAGGTTCCTGACCTTAAAGGATGCAGGGATTTTTATGCCCATTTTTCAGGAAGATATGCAGTGACCAGCCCAAAGTCACACAGTTAGCAGAGTCACAATTAACACTGAGAATGGCAAGCTGGTGCCCCAGAGAGCACAAGATTCATGGGTGTGAGGGTGGGGAGCAAGCATATTTTCTCTGGTGGAAGCCTCTATGCACCCCAAATTCACCTCAGTCCAAGAAGACCAGAGTTTATCAAGGTTTCATGTGCCCGAGGCACCAGACAAGAGGGAATAAGGACAGCCTTTCCCTTCTACCATCACTCCCGGCAGTGATCCTGACCAGGCATGGAGCCCCCAGGAGACAAAGCAGCTAAGATTACACAGAAATACAAAAAACGTCAGGTTTATTCATTCTTTTTTTGGGGGGGGTGTTCGCGGGCTTCTCACTGTTGTGGCCTCTCCCGTTGTGGAGTGCAGGCTCCGGACGCGCAGGCTCAGCGGCCATGGCTCACAGGGCCAGCCGCTCTGCGGCATGTAGAGATCTTCCCAGACCGGGGCACGAACCCGTGTCCCCTGCATCAGCAGGCAGACTCTCAACCACTACGCCACCAGGGAAGCCCTTCATTCAAGTTTTTTAAATGTCCTAGTTTGGGGGCATACTAAGGATCATAAAGGGAATATTGATAGCCCAGGGAAAGGAGAGAGTACTCCATTCATTTATTCACTCAACTATTAAATGTAAAAAATATATATTTTATTTACTTATTTATGTATTTACTTGGCTGCACCAGGTCTTAGTTGCAGCACGCGGGATCTTCGTTGTGGTGTGTGGGATCTTTAGTTGCGGCATGCATGTGGGATCCAGTTCCCTGAGTAGGGATCGAACCTGGGCCCCCTGCATTGGGAGCACAGAGTCTTATCCACTGGACCAGCAGGGAAGTCCCCCAACTATTAAATTTTAATAATAACTGCTATCATTTACCTGTTATTGGGTACTGTGTGCCAGCACTGTGCTCAGCACTTTATATGCATTGTCTCATTTAATTCTCACAACAAAATATAAATGAGGTAACTACTTTATTATCTGCATTTTTTAATTAAAAAATTTTTTTAAAGAGTTCTTTATTATTATTTATTTTACTTATTTTTGGCTGTGTTGTGTCTTAGCTGTGGCACGCAGGACATTTTTGTTGCGGCGTGCGGTCTTGTCTCTAGTTGTGGCGTGTAGGTTTTCTCTTCTCTAGTTGAGATGCGTGAGTTCAGTAGTTGTGGCGCGCGGGCTTAGTTGCCCCGCAGCATGTGAGATCTTAGTACCCTGACCAGGGATCAAACCCGCATCCCCTGCATTGTAAGGCGGATTCTTTACCACTGGACCACGAGGGAAGTCCCTGCATTTTTTTTTTTTTTTTTTTTCGGTCTCTTTGCTAAGACTTTTCAAACTGTCAGCACTTTTAGTTTGAAAGACCTATAAGAGGGAAAAAGCTAGGGGCAAAGTGGAATGAAACATTACACTTTGCTGTTAGCATAATGTGGGTATCAATTATACACAATCAAAATACAGTGTTTGAAAACACTTTATAGTTTGTTTTTCATTTTAAAATATTTATTAAATATTTATTGAATACCCATTTTTGGGTGATATTAGAAACCTGCATTTTTTAAATAGAGGAAACAAAGGCACAAAAAGGTTAGGTCTGTCTGACTGGCTGGTACCCAGTACTGCCAGGTGACAAGACAGTTTCTGCAGATGTGGGACTCATGGTGCAGATGCTTTCCAGCCAGAGGGATCATGGAGGTTTCTGTGAGAGGGACCTTGAAGGTTACAGAGGATTTGGCTTTAGGGTGGGGGAGCATTTCAGGCTGAGAGAACGTTTGGAGCAAGAGTCGGGTGTATTATGGGGTTTATTCAATGGGCTTTGGGGAATCAGGAGGTTTCTTAGGATCGTCATGACTAGATTCACATTTTATAAAGATCACTTGCAGGACAGACTGCAGAGGAAAGAAATGAACGCAAGACAAGCTAAGAAATCTTTCTGTTAGTGTTTTGTGGTAGACAAAATAATGCCCCCCAGGGCTTCCCTGGTGGCGCAGTGGTTGAGAGTCCGCCTGCCGATGCAGGGGACGCGGTTTCGTGCCCCGGTCCGGGAAGATCCCACGTGCTGCGCAGCGGCTCGGCCCGTGAGCCATGGCCGCTGAGCCTGCGCGTCCGGAGCCTGTGCTCCGCAACAGGAGAGGCCACAACAGTGAGAGGCCCGCGAACCCAAAAA